AAATACAAAATTACCATTTTGTCCTTAATGAATTTGGTCAATTTTGATTTTTTTGGTCAACTAACGGTCAATTGGACGGAAATCATCTATTTGGACTCTGGTTGCGAATTGTTTTGTGTATGGCACAAAACAAAGGTTTGGATAAAGTATGCAAAAATGTGAAATGTTTGATACCGTGGTTGCAATTCCCTAAAATTAATGCTACGTCGCTACTGATCAATAAGTACCATTTATAATATTCTTATTTTTATAAGCTCATATTAAAGAATAATCATTTAATAGGACATGAATTATTGATTTGGATGCAGTGAACTCCACTACAAACTTTATTTTTTTTTATTTGTCCTCAATCCCAAGCAATCAAGAAATTTGACCAACTTATTATTAAATTAAATTTTTATACATTAAAAAAAAAAAATTATAACCCCTGTTTGACGGGGATGAAAATAAAATTTTTAGTAGATTTTGATAAAAATTGATCAAATATGTAGTTGAAAAGTTGTGGATCAAATGAAATATATAATTAAAATTAATTATTGAATTGAACTTAGATCGTAACAACTTTTGTCACAAATAAATAAATTAAATGGAGAAACTTACATCATGGGTGGATAAAAAGGCCTCCCGGAGTACATCCAAATTTCCAGCACACTCAAAGCTATAGTGCACACCTCCGTTAGTCAATTCCCTAATTTTCTGCATAACATTAACATAGAACGTTGACGAAGATAAGATAGGATCATGCTATTCGTACACGGGCACGCCCGTGTACCCGGCCCCACGCCCCCCACGCACAATGGGAGGGCCCACCCCATTATTTTATTCACCTCTGGCCCCCTCATTGTGAGCGGGGCGGTGGGGTCGTGTACCCGGGCGTGAAATGGCTTTCCCGATAAGATAATTGCCCAATCAAACAAAAAATAACATAGGGAGATTAAGCCTTCCGTTTCTTACGAGGCAATTCTACCCTTGGGAAATGATAAAATCAAGGTCAAAATAAGAGAGTGAGAAACCAACCTGGTGAACTGGTTTTTCCATGTCCTTGGGATTTATGAAGTCTGTGATTCCAATTGCCTCACCTTTGCAAAAATAAGAGAGAGTACATAATTTTATTGACACAAGTAACGAAAATGCACATCGGTAATCATTTGTAATACCTTTGAAACGTTTGTCCGGGT